AAGATAAACGAGGAGGAGGAAGAGGATGGTGATACTGATGATGATGGTGATGATGATAGCAGGGCAGGGGTCATGGCAGAAAACTGAAGCCCCACTGTTGCCCCAAGGGAGGGGTTCGGGGAGGGAGGGGGTGAGACGGGCCTGCAGGTCACCCCACCTTTTCTCATTTCCGAGTCTTCCCCACCACCACCACCACCACCACCGTGCGTGTGTGTGTGTGTGTTGTGTGTGCGCGCGCGCGCGCGTGTGCACTTTAAAAAAAGACCTTCTTAAGGGGCTAAAGCTGGAAAATAGAGGCTTTTCTCTCTCCCCCGCCCCACATGCCCCTCCCTGGGCCTTTTTCTCCTATAGGCACAGACCTGCTGGTTTTAATGCCCCCCAATCCCCCCCAAATGTCAAGGAAGAAGGGCATTGCTGGGTCCCCAAAGATGCTTCAGCAGATGGGACTTCGCCCGAGTCCCAAGGCCGAGTTCAACCCCCCCCCCGCAGGGTGAGCCGCAGAGCCTGGACCAGGGCAGGGTGAGGGAAAGCCAGCTGTCTCTCTCGTTCCCCTTTTCCGGTGGGTGGTCTTGGCCTTGCAGGGGGGGGAGGCCTGCCTGGATGTCCTGCCGGAGACCGAGGGAGGCTTTCCTGCCAGGAAGGGAAGGAGCAAAGAGGAGCCTCCCTCGGCGACGGGGCCGGCCTGACTGAGGTGCCGTGTCACGGCTGGGGTGGGGTTCTCTGCCATCTTCCGGGGCGAACCCGCTCCTGGCCTGAGTTGCGCGGATCATTCATTTCCTTCCCCCCCCTTTTTTTTCTGGATCTCGTTGCAATTCATGAGCCTGGCAGTGTATAAGCACTACGGTTATATTTCATTCATTCATTCATTCATTCATTCATTCAATCAGTCATGTATTGGGGCCACTACCAATTCCTGACAGATGGTCTCCCTATGGGAGGCGGGAGGTAGAGCATCATCCTCTTAGATCTGCGGAGCTGGAAGGGACTCTCAAGATCATCCAGTCCAGCCCTTGTCCGGGAAGCCCGGTGGGGAGACTCGAACTCCCAACCTCAGGCTCTGCAACCTAGAGCTTTTCAGCAGGTCATAGAAAGGGCTAGCCACGCGTGAAAATGGGGAAATCTGCACCGAGCGTCGTCTGTGGGTCTCGGAGCGAAGGCGTGGGGCAGCGGTGTGTGCCCGCAGCTCAGCCCCGTGGTCTCTGCTGTGGCGCGCATTGGGATTGAGTGCCCACCACTGCCAAAGGGCGGATTTCCAGCCCCCCACCCCTCTATTTTTGGACCGGGACCCAATTCCTCAGAGCCCTGAATGCGGCTTCTGCCGGAGCTGATTGGTATTCCTAAAAAGTTGAGCGGCTGGCGTCTGCGAGAGAAAGCCGCTCCGTCTTGGCTCGGAGCGCAGGAAAGGCCGGAGCTGGGCCCGGCCCAGATGGCGAGCCGTGGCGGGCAGCCGGCGGCTTGTGAATTGCTCTTTTCAGAAGCTTTCCTGGGTGGATGGCTTGTGGGGGGGGGAGCCTTGCGTCCCTCTCGGGAGCCCTCATAAATCCCAAGCTCCCGGAGAGAAGGACAGGCAGGATCCTTCTGGCTTTCCTCCCTTCCTTTCGGCCTCTCGCTGCTTTTACATTTCGAATGAATTTCAGCCCTTGGCATCCAGTTTTTCAGAGAAAATGAAAAAAAGAACAGATGTGCCAGCAGAAGGCTTCGAGCTTTCTCCCTGGCTGGTTTTCGTTTCCTGCGAGGTAGCAAGTCGGGGGATGCTTAGAGCAGCCGTTCGCCAACTTTTTCGAATCTCCAACCCCTTTTTATAAGAGCCGAGACTCCTGCAAACCCAATCTGAAAGACCAAGAAAGAAATTATTTAACAAAGGCTACGGTGCATATAAAGCAAAACCTCCCCCCCTCCAAAAAAAATCTTTGCAACCCTTTTCAGTGGCAAAACGTGGAGAACCATGGGACCACTGTATCCACAGTGTATTGGCTCCAAACACTCCCTCCCCACGGATGCTGAAAAACGCGGATTATAGTGAACGCTACGCAGTGTATGATCTGTGGCTCCCTCGAGTGGCCAGTTCTGGTCACTTCATCGTTAGAAAATATACGTTTGGAGTATTTTTCGTTTAATGTTTTCAGGATCAGTGAATCAGCCGATCCTGGTCCCACAGATAAGGGAGATTCTGCTGTATATATGGAGAGAATGCTCCCGGGTTGTCTTTGAAATCTCGTGTAATGGCTTTCTTGTTCCTGACGCTCCAATCACGCTTAATTGGGTGGAGGTTGGAATTTCTGGATTCTGACCTTTCCGGTTCCCCTAATAATCCCGTGCTGAGTTTCTGGGCTTGGTGGAAAGCTTTTTCAGCACTGCTTTTGACGGCTGGCTTCCGAACAGCTCCGGTGGATCAATTATCTGATGTCCTTTCCCGGGGAAGCAGAGGCGTTACCTTTTAAATTTCCTGGAGGTGGTGAGCATTGACCTTGGAGAACACCTTAAAGAACATTTTTTTTCTCTCTGTTGACAACGGTACAAAAAGCCAGCAAAGGACGAGTCAGGTGGCACCTTTTTCCGACTGCCTGAGATAAGGAAAACTTGGTGGTGCTACTCGGAAGAGGTGGGAGAGGCCAAAGAAGGGGGGGGGCGATGGTGGGTAACTTTGGTAAGACTGGGGTACACGTTTCTGCTGGATAAGTCTTTCGGGGTGGGATGGGCCACCCTAAAGGGTCAAGAAAGGGAATCAGAAGACCCGTCTGATAGGGATGATTCCCGATGCCAAAAGTTCAGAAGTCTCATGTAGCCCAAGTAGAAAAAAGACAGACGGAAAGGACTGGGCAGGTTTTGTCTTGAGAAAAAAAGACGGAGGGGAGACAAGGGAGCTCTTTTCAAAGACCTGAAAGGTGGTCCTCCGTAGAGGATGGGCAGGATTCGTCCTCAAACCCCCCCCCCCGGACGGCAGGACACATCATCATAGGTTTGAGGGACAGGAAGCCAGATTTGGGCACAAAAGAAAACCTTAATTGTTAGAGCAGTACAACAACGGGACCCGTTAACCTCAGGAGGGGGCAAGCGCTCCCACACTGGAGAAAACGGGACCCTCCCCTCTTTCCGGTCTGCTTGGATTCGGGTTCCTGCCTTGAGCAGAGGGGGTTGGACTGGATAGCCTTATGGGGGGGGAGAAAACGGGACCCTCCCCTCTTTCCGGTGTGCTTGGATTAGGGTTCCTGCTTTGAGCGGAGGGGGTTGGACTGGATAGCCTTAGGGGGCCCCCCTTCCAACTCAGTGATCCTATGATCCACTCTAGGAAGTTTTAAGGATTTGCTTTTTATGTTTGCTGGGGAATTAAAAAAAAATTTTTCTTGTTGGATTCGTCCAAAGGAATCTGGGACCACATTCAAACCCCCATCTGAGGTGCATGGGGGGGCCTCATCCGTTCTGCACGCCATCCTTTGCCCCTGATCTCCTGCTGCCCCATGCCTTCCAAAGCCTGGGGTGGGGGCCCCTCTGCTCGGTGTCTTCCGGGGCTGTGGCGCCCAGCCTCCTCTGTTACAGGGGCTCCAGCCAGTCCTGTCCGCTGCGGGGCTGAGACTCACCCTGATTTTCTCCCTCTTCTTTTCTGTCCAGCTCTCCACCACGAACCCGTTGTACGAGACCTATTACAAGCAGGTAAGGGCTGCCCGGTTTTTGCCTCTCCCGCCGTCCTCGGGAGGGGGGTGTCTCCGAGTGTGACGAAAAAGGAGAACTAGTCAGCGAGGGAAGAAGCGGGATGTGGGAGGGAAGCCCCCTAGCGCAGTGGGGCTGTCCCCACGGCCGCCGCCACCATTAGAAACCTGTTCCTTGTTGCCTTTTGGTGGGACCTCTGCTCAGACATTGGTGTGCGTTTCGCAGGTGGATCCAGCCGGCACCGGGCGAATCGGAGCCAGCGATGCGGCCCTTTTCTTGAAGAAGTCAGGCTTGGCAGACACTGTTCTTGGGAAGGTATGTTGGGCGTGATCCCCCAGAAGGGGCAAGTGTGCTTGGGAAGGTATGTTGGGCGTGATCCCCCCGGAAGGGGCAAGTGTGATACACACACACACACGAAACACAGACTCAAACCCACTGTTTGCTGCTTCTCAGCGTAGAACCGTCCTTTCTGGATCTTTCTAATGCCAAGAGGATGGGGAGCAGAGGGTTGGCTCTGCAAACCCTAAGGGACATGGTGGATACCGATCCCGCGGATGGGGGAGGGCTTCTACGGATTGCTTTTATATTTAAAAGCCACAATGAAGATTTCTATATATGCAAAACACGGAATCTAAATATTTTATGGGAACCTTGGGTGGACCCAAGGCCAGTGTTCTTCTCTTGGGGCCACACGAGGATCCTGCACCCTTGAGACGAGGCCAGGCTAAAGAACCAGAATAGATTGGATGTATCGGTGTTGAATTTGTGTCTCCTCAGATATGGGACTTGGCAGATCCCGAAGGCAAAGGATTCTTGGACAAACAGGTGTGTGAGCCTTCCTTCCATCATCAGCTTCCTTCCTTCCTTCCATCCATCCATCCATCCATCCATCCATCCATCCATCCATCCATCCATCCATCCATCCATCCATCCATCCATCAGCTTCCTTCCAGAGCGCTGGGCGGCCTGTGGGAGGGCTGTCCTTTCTTCTCAGAAACCTGGTGAACTGAAGGCCCTTCTCTCCCTCCCTCTCTCTCTTTTCACCCCCAGGGATTCTTCATTGCACTGCGACTGGTGGCATGTGCGCAGAGCGGCCACGATGTCAGCCTCAGCAGCCTCAGCTTGCCGTTGCCGCCTCCGAAATTCGTAAGCATCGACATTTTTTTAAATAAAAAAAATATTCAAATCAGAGCTTCTCTTTTCTGCATGGGATGCAACGGGGGTTTTCGTAAGGGGTCCGAAAACGTCCCCACACGTCTCCATTCAGGGAATCCAGCTTGACAGGTGAATGCATGGGAGGCCCTGGACTGTGGCTCTCCTGGGAGCAAGGCCTGAACCTGGAAAGTTTAAAGCCCAGCTCGGCCTCATTCCACCCAAGCTTCTTTTTCCTGCTCAAGGCCGAGCTCCGAGCTTTCATCCTCTGGTGGAGCTAAGGCCAAGCTAAGCCCCCAGAAACTTTCCGTGTGAGGCCTTTCTCCTGGGCGAGTCACATTTAAGGATCTGGAATGGGTTTGTCTCTCGAGTACACCTTCCAGAACGGAGACGCATGGAATTTGTAGTCCAAAAACACAACTTCAAAGGGTTTTCCCTTCCGTCCTTATTGGTGTTGGGAAACTTTGCGTCTTATGGCATTTGCTGAATGTTTTTGTGTGTCTGAAACTTGTGCATAGAGGGTTTAAGAGGTTAGCCTTAGGGATTCTCACTCAGCCATGGGGCTTGTTGTGCAGCCTTGGGCAAGACCCATACGCTCGGCCCCCTAATCTCATTTGGTTCTTTCTTGTGGGGATGAGGTACGGAGGAGATCACCCTCTTTCCGTCCACTTTGAGCTCATGGGAGGAGGTGCAAGCTAAACCAATGTCTTAATAAAGAGATGAAATACTGCAGGACCCCTATATCTACGGGTTCAGTATTCACTGATTCATTTACCCACGGTCTGAGAATGTGAAAAGCAAAATCCTAGAAATACATATTTCTAAAGATGAACGTAACAGAACTGGCCAGCGGAGGGAGCCGGAGACTGTGCTGTGTTGAGCGTTCAGTATCATCCGCATTTCTCAGCATCCGCTGAACAGATCCCTCTGCAGATAGATGAGGTCGTACTGTAATTAAGAAGAGGGAGCTGCTCAGTGGACTTTGATGTATTGTATTTGTCATTTCAGCCCGACAGCACGAGCCCACTCCTGGTGTCTTCGTCGGATGCTCACTGGGCTGTCAGAGTGAGTGTTGAGGGATGAGCGTCCTGTCCTGTCTGCGTTGAGCTTCGGGCCCCTTCGTTTGTTGTTTCCTTTGGCTTCCAAATTTGGCTCTGTCGTGTGTTCTCACAACAAGAGGCGGAACCTATTAGTTATTTATGCCGATGTGGCCCCTCTGGTCTCCCTCCCCGGGCACTCTTGCAAAGGATAAGGCCCTGCCCCAAGGCGCTCCCATTGCGATTTGATTGTTCGTCACGGTCCCCCCCCCATTTGCCTGCCAACGCCGGCACGCGGTTACATTCTTATTTTCAAATTTTATTCGCCTCTATCCCTAAACAGGTTCCGGCGACAAGTCCCCACCGCTCCTGTCTTGCTGGTTATAGTGTGCAAGAGAGACGATCCTTTATCTGAGCTAGTTATTTGGCTTTTGCCCCAAATGGGATGTCACCGGGGGAAAAGGCGTTGGCCCAGGATTATAGCCCAAACCTCGGTGGGGGCGCAGACACACTAGCCCATGGACACCATGTGGTTGCCCAGATGACATTTGCTTTTACGGTAGGACCCCCGTACCTGTAGGAACCCTCCCCCATTAAAAATATATGAAAAGAAAAATCCTAAAAATTAAGTATTTCTAACACTCTAAAACTGGTGCTGTTGAATGCCAGGTCTGTATCCGATAAGCTCCAAGTGATTCACGATCTTATTCTGGAGGAGGATGCAGACCTGGCATGCATAACCGAGACGTGGATTGGCGGAGAGGGGGCTCCTCCCCTAGCTCTCGCCTGTCTGCCGGGTTATGCTGTCCAGCAAGAGGGTAGACTGGAGGGGCAGGGGGGAGTAGCCATTGTTTACAAATCCATCCTGGAGGTTACTAGGTGCTCCACGGTGGTGAAGTCAGGTCTAGAGGCACTCCACATGTCGATTGGGGCCAGGGATGGTATTGGGATTTTGCTGGGTTACTGCGCTCCCCGAGACCCAGCCACTTCCCTTCTGGAGCTGGCGGACTTTGTGTCCATGGCATTGTTGAGGTCCCCGAAGATTTTGGTTTTGGGTGATTTCAGCGTTCACGCGGAGGCAGAGACCACAGGGCCAGCTCTTGAGTTCTTGGAAACCATGGCTTCCTTGAACATGTCCCAACATGCCAACGGCCCCACCCACATGGGTGGTCACATGTTAGACCTGGTCTTTTCCACCAATTGGAGCGAGTGTGGTCTGATGGTGACCGGCCTTGTGTCAGTCCCCTTGTCATGGTCAGATCACCACCTGATAAAATGTGACCTCTCAGTGGCTTTTCCCCCTCGTAGGGAGCAGGGACCTATTTCTATGGTCCACCCTTGAAGGCTACTGGATCCTGTTGGATTCCAGGATGCCATGAGAGGTGTAACAGCTGGCCTGGCTGGCACTCCTGTCGAGGTTTTGGTTGACAGCTGGTTCACCACTGCCACCAGGGCTATAGACACGATCGCGCCTAAACACCCTCGCCAACGCAGAGCTCGGCCTGCGCCCTGGTTTAACCAGGACCTTCGAGCGATGAAGCGGTTTAGGAGAAGGCTAGAGCGCAGGTGGAGGAAGAACCCGATGGATTACAACTGGATAGCTGTCAGGGTTGCAGCTAACCTCTACCTGACTACTTGTCGAACATACTTCGCTAACCGGATAAGTGAAGCTTCAAATCAGCAGGCGGAGTTATTCCGTATTGTGCC